CGCACCTCCATCTCAGAGCTCCCAAAACATTCACAGCAGGCAGCTCGGCTCTCCTCTCAGAGAATATCCCCGATACACGCCCAATCTGTCTCCTCCTCTCTACCACACACTAGAGACGCACACACACATCCGGTGTGGGGTGCCAGAATGGAGTGCAGCCTCCTAACTAAACCAGAGGATATATCTAAAGACTGATGAGTGGACAGAGATTCCTAGTCCCAAATTTAAAGAGTCTTCTTTTCGCTCTTCTGAAAGAAGCTGCACTACATATGGACTAAATATGATATTAATTTTGTAATATAATTGTGAAAAGTGTGATCTTGTGCTGTGTGAAGCGGTCTCATCTGTTAGTCATGTTTCTCCCCTCTGCTGGAAGGAGTAGTAGATTGTTGAGGACAGGACCTGGACAACAATGATGCTCCAGATGTTCACAAAAGAAAAGCTCCTTCTAACTGCAAAGTGAAAATTAAAGTTTGTGTTTTGTTGTCTTTGCGTAACTCAAAGACTGGTGTGATTCAAATGTTTGCGCTGTGAGCACTAGGCTTGTTCTCCTCTCAGTGACTCCCACTTTTTTTTTTGGTATTGTGAAGGATTTAAATTGTGACCCACTGTCAGACAGGCAGTGACATTTACTGACCAAAATAATCTGAGCTCTCACAGCAGAGCCTAAGGGAGATATTTTTCCTCTTTAGTGTTCAAAGCGCAGCTCTATGCTCAGTCTCGGTGAAGGAGAAAAGGCATGAGTTGTCCGAGTGAGTGTGTGCACGCGTGAGCCTGTGTATATGTAAAGCCTATGTCAGCTCAGCTCAAGAATGCTATGAGTTCATTTCCAATGAGACAGGCAGTGGTAGCTGCAGGCACTGCACCATCGAGATAAACAGTTTGTTTAGACCGCGCTACAGGCCCAAAGACCTGTAAACACTGTTTCCACTGCATTCTGGGTAAATGCACAACTCAGCGTCACACAGCTGTCACCGCTGTCCTCTCAGTCACCCTAGCCTGACCAATCAGCTTGCTCTGCTCACTCGGAACACGCCAATGAGTGCGTGGCTTTCTTTTATCCTTAGCTGACCAGTCAGATCAGGAGTGCAGCGCGTGTTATGCGTGCGTGCGTTGGGCCCATTTTTGTTTGTTTGTGAATTATTCATGAGTCCAGTGGTGATCCTTGACACGTGGGGATTGCTCAGCAATCACAAAGAAACACAGAGCTGTAAATGTTGATACACCAACTCCTGTTGTCTTTTCATTTTAAATCTGAATTAGTTCCTGTGATACATACAGCCTTACTTCATTGCTTGCTAGATTTGGTTAGGTACGCACATTTCCCTGCAGTCCTTAGGACACTTTCATCCTTGTAGCTAAATGTGAAAAACAAGCAAACAAAAGAAACAAACAAGAAGTGTGGCCCTTTTTGTGAAGAATAGATACAGGCCTCTGGTTTATGTGTTAACAGTCTGTTTTTTTATATCTCTGCCCAGGTGTTTTAACATGCAGTAACTTGTGATATGGTGCTCTAACATTACAAATTATTCATTCAGAGAGAAGATCCTCATCATTCCTTGATATCTATTCGATTTGTGTGTGTGTGAGAAGGTGTGTGCGTGACGTTGAAATAAGAATTGATTGTTCTTTTTAGTTTGTTTTTTTAGCCCTGTTCCTGCCAATAGTATTTATTACTCTAGATTTGTAAAGAATAATTTGTTGTTTGTGAAATAAGATGGTATTGTTCGGAGATCATTGTTTCTCTTTGAGGGTTTGTTTCCAGTTTTGCCCTCCATCTTCAAGTGGTGATAAATATTTGTGATAAACAAACTTTTCTGTTCTATGAAATTACAAAAAAGGGATTTATAAACAGAAATTGAATAAATTTTAGAGAGAAAGTCCTTTGGTTGTAGCATTCTTCTTTGTGACTAGGGAGCAAACACAGCAAGGACAAACGATTAACATTCCCGGCGGGTTATTTAAAGTATGTTCGGCACCTCTGGAGTGGAAACTCTTTTAAGTGGAGGGCAGTTTATCTATTTTGAGGCATGTATGAATTTGAAAGATCTGATAACAAGTGTAAGCTCATTCAACAGTGTTGGAGAGAGTTGTTTAAAGTGTAAGAGTGTTTACTATGCTGTCTTATCAAGCATAATGGACCCCAGTGTCTGTTACTCTTCTTCTCAGCAGCCAAACCTCCAGAGCAGTCTGGGAGCTGCACATACCTTGTCCACCTCTTCTTATCTCTGACAGGTTGTTTGGCATCTCTAGTCTCCACCAGCTGGACCGCCTCACTGACAACCTGCTGCCCAGAAAAGGGAGGGGTCTGTTGGGATCGAGGACAAAGGAAGGTGGGGGTGTGTTGGTGGTCCCCACACTTCTCTTAGACTCCTTTCCAAATTGCCGTTTGCCATCCTGCCATCTCATGTTCCTGTGTCTCCACAAGAAAAACCTTGTATATTGCTACACCTGACAATTCAGAACTGATTTTTTTCTTTTATTGCAAAAGTGTTTAAATAGCCTTTAACCATTGTATTTTAATTGTACTTTATGTTTGTTAGAAGTTTTCAAACTTTCCTTTCCCTTTTGTTCCTTTTGTTCCTTCCTCTGTCTCTCATACACCATGAGGTCAAAGGCTAAGCAGGCAGCTCTTTAGAGGGTCTGTTCCTCGTTAACCCTTTCGTCTCCAGAGACAAAGGATCTCTGGGGCCTCCAATGCTACAAGGAGAATCAGAGAGTTTCATGCCTGCTTATAGTGTGAGGGGGCTCTGTGATGTCTCTTTATGGCTGGGAAGTTAAGAGTAAAGTGCTGGGTTAAGTGTTGAGGTAATATTAAACACAGCAAGCGCAGGTTGTGTGTGTGGTGTGTGTAAAGGACCTTAATTAATCAGTGGAGGACTTTCTCAGACCAGCTGGTTAGACAGTAGATTGATGAACCTTTGTGATCAAAGAGCCTAAGTGGTGCTTATCATTATCTCCCCATCACCCCCCTCCAGCACACACACACACACACACACACACACACACACACACACACACACACAC